AAAAAAATGAGGAATTTCAAATAGTTAATTTGATACTAATATCGATATATTTTTGTCAAATTTTATTGATATCTTCAAACATATATTTTATTCAAAAATAAAAACATCATCGAAAAATCACATAAAGTCATATTATAACATCGATTGAGATAAAGAATAAAATGAAATATTAAAATCACGATGTATCTCGTTGCATTGCGCGAATACGCTTCTAGTATATTTAAACATGTTTAGAGGGTCATTCAAGGGAGAAATCAATATTTTATGAGATCAAATTTCAACCACAAATCAAAGATTAAATTAGAAAATTAATAATTTAAGTAATTTTGACCATTTTTAACAGATGAAAGAATGGTGATTTACCCCGACTGGGTGGGGAATCCGGCTCACCCGACCCGAAGGAGGAYGGGGATTCCCCGCTAAAACGGGTCTCGGGGCTGGGGATCCCCAGCAGACTCAAACCGGGGACGAGGGATGTTACTCAAACTGAGGCTGGGGATCCCTGGTAGACTTAAACTGACGAATATTTTCATGGGGTTAGACGGAAGACAGGATGTCAATCCTCATACCCGCCAAAGACCGGAGCCGGGGGCGAAGGCTATTACAGAAAACGGGGGCGGAGGCTGGGGACGGGGATTACAAAACTCGCCCCATCCCCGGCCCGTTGTGATGCCTAAACAAATGGTTTTAGAGTTTGAAAAAAATGAGAAACTTATAAGGCCCGATGCTTAAAAGGAATGTTGGCCCAACTCATAACATCCCATGATTCTTTACTTYTGTTCTTATTTTTCCACCAAGATTACAATCCAACTTCCATACACATCCTTAAGGTATACGAATCGTACCACTTCTTTCCTTTTGCTTCTTCTCCAAGAGATCTCTGYATAAAATCTTCCATCTTCAATCCATCGGATTCTTCAATTTCACCGGAATCGGAAAGATGTTGATCAGAATCCGAAGCAGAGATGGATTAGAGCGTCTTCAGATCGATAATCCAAACATTACAATCGCTCAGCTCAAAACCCTAATCGAATCGCAACTCAGAGTCCCATTACACAACCAAACCCTGTCCACAAACCAGTCCTTACTCATTGCCAAAACCCATCCGGAAATCTCCCGATTCACCGACATGTCTAACCCTCAAACTCCGATTTCTGCACTCGGTATTGCACATGGTTCGATCATCTACCTTGCTTACGAGGGTGAACGAACCGTTGCCGGACCTCAAATCCGTCCTGCTGGATCGTTTGGACGGAAGATGACGATGGATGACCTTATCGCTAAACAAATGAGGATTACTCGTCAGGAAAACCCTCACTGTGAGTTGGTATCCTTTGATCGCGATGCCGCTAATGGATTTCAACATTACGTGAATGAAACCCTAGCGTTCGCCGTGAAACGAGGGGGTTTTATGTACGGAACGGTGTCGGAAGAGGGGAAAGTGGAGGTGGATTTCATATACGAACCGCCACAACAGGGAACGGAGGAGAGTTTGATTCTGTTAAGAGATCCMGATGAGGAGAAATTGGTGGAAGCCATAGCTTTGGGATTAGGGATGAGAAAAGTAGGGTTTATTTTCACTCAAACGATTGGACAGACGAAGAAGGAATACACGTTATCAAACCGAGAGATTCTGCAGGCGGTGGAGTTGCAGGCAGAGAGTGATTTGAAGGAATGGGTGACTGTAATGGTGAAATTGGAGGTTAATGAAGATGGCGGTGCAGATGTTCATTTTGAAGCTTTTCAGATGAGTGATTTGTGTGTTAAGTTGTTTAAAGATGGGTGGTTTGAGACGGAGATCGCCGGAGATGCTGATCCAAAGCTGTCGAAAATGAAGAAGGAGGTGGTGGTTGGAGGAAAAGATACAAAAGAAGTGGACAACGATTTCTTTTTGGTGGTTGTCAAGATTTTTGATCATCAGGTTCCTTTTTCATTCTTGATTTCTAGTTTCTTAATTGCTTCATAGTCTGATTTGATCTTCAATTTTGAATATTTTTTAGTTTAGCTACCGGTTTGTTTGCATTCATGATGAATAGTCGCCAGCGTTCACGATGAATAGCCGYGAATGGCTGTGTGTATTCATGACGAATGGCTGGATAAAATCTTGATTATTAATGCCAGTGACAGATATTCATGATGAATAACAGTCACAAAGTGGGTGGTTCCTGTTCCTAAAATATTTAAGGTTTCTAAATGAACCAGSCTTATGTTTCTAAAGCAAGTTTCTTGATTGCTTGATATCTGATTTGATCTTCAATCTTGAATATGTTATCTTAACTATTTGTGTTATTTATTTATGGCTGATATTGTTGCTTTCATGGCTATAAACACATCTGTTTTTCTTACATGTAATATATAACTCAACTATCTTTAATCGAAACCTGAATTAAGAACAGAATCTATGAGAAAAGCTTGGGTATGCAAGAATGCAAGAATCTTGGTTTTTCTTTTCCYTTTTCTTTTCGCTCACACTTTTGCAAATGGGGGGTCTTCACTGAAACGGCCGTTCTACCCTTTGGGTTAGAGGTTAGGTCTGCTTACATCCCACCCCTTCTGTACCCTAAATTCTGGGTTTGTTTGGTAGAAAAACCTCACGCTCTTGCACAAGCTGGGATCGTCATGGAAACATCTGCCTTATCTTTTGGTTAAAGATTTGGTCTGCGTACATCCSCTGATCCCAGCCCTACTAGACCTTCGAGCGGGATATGCTGTGTTTGTTTGGTTCGGTTTATACTACCACATGAATTGATTATCTCTTCTTATATATGGGCTTTGAGTTACTTGAATTTAGAGCATCTTCAATAGCTTCTGCATATTTTTTTCTCCAAGATGGAGAAAGAATAATTAAAATCTCCAAAAAGAATGACATCCAATCCTCACAGTTTTCCCSATTGTGAAGATTCTGGTATTAATTATATTATTAAAAATATTCAATACTTATTAGTATATCCCACCAAACTTCTAACATTTCATTGGTGGCAACAACAAAAAGGTTATTTCTCTCGATACCAGCATTTAGTTTTGGAGGGTTGTCCATTTGGTGAAGTTCCAAATGAGAATGGCAAAAAGGTTGAGAGGTCCAAAGAGAAGGTTCATCATATGTGAATCATTGATGAACCCGAAAAAAGTCCATTGGAAGATGCATAYGTGAATTCACGTTTGCCTAATTACCTTTTTTATCACTTATTCGCATATGAAGATTCATATATGAACCTGCATTTATGTTTTCTTTTACCAATGATTCACATATGAAGGTTCCATTCCCACCTCCAATTCTTTTTGCCCTTTTCATTTGAACCTTCCCCTTGGAGTATCTGTGTTGCAGCTAAAAAAGGATAAAAACTTCAAAATCTCTATTTTSTYCCCATTGGAGATGTTTTACATTATTGTTAACTGATCATCTTGAGTTGAATGTCGATAATTCAATATCGTAGTGTGTTTATTCTCATATATTAATTATTGGATTTGCAGGGTCCRTTATCATCAACGTTTCCAGTTGAGAATCGGAATACAATGGTGACAATGAGAAACTTGAAGAACCATTTGGATCGTACAAAAAATTTCCCGTTTGTGAAGCGAATATCCGACTTCCATCTACTTCTTTTGCTAGCCAGGTATCTTGATGTGAACTCCGACGTGCCAGCTTTGGCAGGTTGTGTCCATGCTCAAGCAACCATTCCCGAAGGTTATCAGATCCTAATCGACTCCATGGCTGCATCCGCTTGACCCCATTTGACACTTTGTGCAGTATCATTGATCGTCTCTTGAACCAATTGGCTTTGATTTTGCAACATTTCGATGGTTTGGTGAAAGAGGTTCGTGAATGTCGTCTGGGTCGGTCAGGTTTACCCATACGCGTTTTTATGCACATTCTTTTCTATATGTATTTATACTCTGGTTCTTACCTGTGGTCGTGAATGATATTCCGCTCAGCAATAGATGTTTTCGTATTTAAATTCAAAATCCAAATGGATCGTTTGGTAAAACATATYTTATCGGGTAACATTATCGGCCATCAAAATGGATTGGCTGGTAAGACTTCTCCATCACTTTGTYRGGTAAGATTCTCGATCCTTGTTATACCTCTTACCGCGTAAGATTTTAGGTTCTTGTTATATGCAAATATAATAGTAAGCATTTGATAAATGGCCGTTTACTGAACGCTTATCCGGATAAGCATTTGCCAAGTCACACTACCTTACCGGATGAATAAGAATTTTACCTGGTAAGAGCAAAGACAATAACCGATAGTCTTACTTGATAAGTGAAGGTAAAGAGATTTGCCATGGTTAGTTTTTACCAGGTAAATTGTTGCATATGATACCGTTTTGGTGGACTAAAATCTTACCCGGTAAATATGTAATAGTATTGAATTTTTCAGGTAAACGCTTATTGAATAAGTGTTTGGTAAACGGACCCTAATTTAAACCTTCTGGTTTGATTTGGCTTCTGATTTTGAAATTCTGATTGTCGAGCAAAAACTGGAAGTCCAACATATTCACACTCACACATATGTAAAACAAACAAATATACAATATTTATATATAGTGAATTAAACACTTTTTCACTTTTGGTCCATGTGGGTTTTTGTTTGTAACACTTTTGGTCCTTGTGGTTTTTTATTTGTAACACTTTTGGCCCCTATGGTGTCAAACATAGAGATGTGTTATTTTGGTATGCAAAAATGACGGCATTTGGTCCCTTACTCTAATGATTATTAAAAGAATCGGTTACATGAAGGGCATTTTAGTCTTTTTAGATTTTTATCTCATTTTCTATTAAATATCAAAMATCTTTTTATATGGTCAAWTAATATTGTGCYAAGTGTTCYATATAATRYTGTTTTAATGAYAACATAATTCATTCACCTCTTTGTGAAACATTTTTCTTCGGCTCGTAAACTCCGATTAGTCTCCACTGTTTACAACCACCCACCAGGCCACCACCACCACCGCGACATCGACAAAAGAAATTCAGATACTACTCTTTCCAAAAAATTGAACAAGAATATTYCAAAAATTTAGATGCCTTGAACAAAAATCAACCACATTCCAAAAAATTGAAGAACATCCAAAAATCAAGATACAAACTTAAACCCTAAATCACATACGAATCAAACTGTAAATCAAGAGACAACTCATACCATAAAATCAAAATCTRGATATCAAATAAGGCTCTAAAAGCCTAAAACAAACCCTCGGTTCTGAAGATCATTGAGCAAGGTGTGATCGATCAACATCTGTGGGGATTTGCAGCCCTGTGTCGTGGGGGGTGGGTGGTGCTCGAGATTTGTTGCTTTCTTTGTGGTGTTCGCCGGAGATAGGGAAGGTATGGAGTGGGGTGGGAGCTCGATATTTTGTGGCATGTGCAATGGGGTTTGCCGAAGATGGAGGATGGAGGGAACGGGTTAGGGGTGGGGAGCCCATGATCTGGGGTCTTTGYTGGAAAAGTCACAATCACGTTCGTGTCACAGAACTAGGAGGGGGGAGTGAACAAAGCTTGAGTAGAGAGAGACGATGATCATTTGTGACTCCTGGAGYAGAGGGAGTCGGTGATGACTTGTGGTCGATGGTGAAGARGGAGGCGGTGATCACCTCACATAGTGTTGGATTTCGAGATGGTCACCGGTTTGGRGGAAGGGGTTCATCTGAGGGAATGCGCTGGAGAAAGGGATCGAGAAGGGGGCAGGAGTAGGGGGCGAGAGGTGTCAGCTATATATATTATTTAAGTTACAATCTTCGTCCTTCTAATTTACATGTTTATTTATTTTTTAAATAAAATTGTGATTAAATGTAAAAAAGACCAAAATATCCTTCACTTAACGGGTTCTTCTAAATGGTCGATACAACCAAGGACCAAATCCGGTCGTTTTTGCATACCACATGGCGAATCTGTAATTTCGAACTATAAGGACCAAAAATGTTACAAACAACAAACCACAGGGACCAAATTTGTAGTTTACTCTTTAGTTTACTTTATACCTTGATTTTTTTCATTTTTTATCTTACACCTTTATCACATTAACATATTTAAACCATATATTAACTAAAATATATTTAAAAAATGTGTTTATCTTTTTATAAATTATATCATTATAATCGTCTCGTTAATATATTCGAAATGAGATTTGGGTATTTTTTGTTCAATCATATTAATTAAACTAGAAGAATACTCGCATAATACAACAAGATATATCTTCATTTTAATGTTTCGTTTTTATTTTTTGTTGTCTCTGTTGATATACTATGATTTATGTGGTTTTGAGAAAGACAATATTTTACGATTTAGTGAAGTAATTAATTTTTGGCTTAACAATAAAATTTTATAAAGATAATGTTTATATTAGAACTCAATGATTATCCTAATTATATTTTAGATTTTTTTTATATTTAAAATGAGATGTTTATCCTGTATTTGATTATGTTTATCCGCTGTTAGTTATACGAATTCTAACATGAAGGTTTAATAAGTTGTACTTACGCACAATTTACTTGTAATCTTAAATTTTAAATAATATATATAAATATATAATACTTCATGTATAATATAATAAATGGTTTTTAAGAATTTTTGTCAAATGCTTTATAATATAGTATAGATATAGATATCTTAATTATTCGCTTTATGGAATTATTTTTGTCGATTTCACTTTATTGGGTTCAGCTTGTTATGTTTGGTTAGTGGCCAAACTATAATTTATTAAAGAATGGTGTCTAAAATAGCAAGAGGGTCAAAGTGACGAGTATATAAACAATTGAAAAAACAAAGGACCAAAAACCCTAAACCCTAAAATCAAGAACCTGCGTCTTCCTTTCTCTCCTCCAATGGCGGTCGATGATCGGTCGGAAGCAATCGTCAAGACGTTTGCAGTGAAACCAAAGCTCAAACCGACTACAAACAAATCCACACCAACTCCAGAATCAAAATACTGGAAATCATTCAAACCCAAACAAACCCAAACCCTAGTTTCATCCATAACTTCACTTGCATTTTCCCCGACAGCTCCACATGATTTCGCCGCCACCCACTCCGCCACCGTAACTGTATTTTCCTCGCAAACTCTAGAGCCTAAATCAACTATCGCCGCCTTCAAAGACACCGCTACCTCTGCTTGTTTCCGATCTGATGGCCAACTGTTAGCCGCTGGTTCGTACTCAGGTTTGATCCAGGTGTTCGACATCAAGAAGAGATCTGCACTCAGACGCCTCCGTGGCCACTCGCGTCCAGTTCATTTTGTCAGTTACCCTCGCGTTGACAAGCTCCATCTCTTCTCCGGCGGCGATGATGCCGTGGTTAAGTATTGGGATGTTTCGTCGGAGATTTCGATTCATAACCTCATCGGTCATAAGGATTATGTCCGGTGTGGCGATGGATCTCCGGTCAGTGATGACATGTTTATCACGGGATCGTATGATCATTCCGTTAGGGTTTGGGACGTTAGGGTTTCAAGCGATACATCAATGTTGAACATCAACCACGGTTCACCGGTGGAGGATGTAATTTACTTACCATCTGGTGGTTTAATCGCCACCGCAGGTGGAAATAGTGTGAAAATTTGGGATGTGATTGGTGGTGGTAAGCTGCTACATTCGATGGAAAGCCATAACAAGACTGTGACTTCACTAACTGTTGGGAAAATAGGGCAAGATAGTGGGGATTTCACTAATCAATATCGAATTTTGAGTGTTTCATTAGATGGGTATTTGAAAGTATTCGATTACTCGAAATTAAAGATCACAAGTTCGATAAGGTTTCCATCTTCTCTTATGTCAGTGGCATTCTCACCAGATTGTTCCACTAGGGTAATTGGTACTTCAAATGGGATTCTTTATGCAGGGAAGAGGAAAACCGAAGAAACTGTTGGATCTGTGAAATCTGAATGGGGGAAATACGTTGGTTTTGGAGCTATAGATGAACCCGAGAAGAGGGTCTTAAGACCATCATATTTCCGGTACTTTCATCGTGGCCAAAGTGAGAAGCCTTCAAAAGGGGATTTCTTGATCATGAGATCGAAAAAGGTGAAACTTGCTGAACATGACAAGTTGTTGAAGAAATTTCATCACAAAGAGGCTTTGGTGTCAGCATTAAGAGCAAAAAATCCCGAAAACATAGTGGCAGTGATGGAGGAATTGGTGTCTAGAAAGAAACTATTGAAATGTGTTTCGAATTTGGGGGTGGATGAGCTTGGATTGTTGTTGGGTTTCTTGCAGAGGTACTCCACAATGCCAAGGTATGCTGGTGTGTTAATAGCATTTGCAAAGAAAGTAGTCGAAAGCCGAGCTGATGATATTACTGGTTCAGAGGAATTAAAATCCCACATCCGAAATCTAAAGAGATCGGTGATGGAGGAGATAAGAATCCAACAATCTTTGCAAGAAATCCAAGGTATCATTTCTCCTTTACTAAAGATTGCAGGGAGAAGATGAATCATATGATTGTTTTTTTCTTTGCATTTTTAAGACTTTTTTCAGGTTTCAAAAAGTTATCCAATTTTGTTTGCCATGAGTTAGGTTGTTGCTTATTTTGTTGTATGATTACTTTCTTTGAGGGATGATGCTATTCAACTATCTTATATCTTGTTTGATCCCCATTTATTCAGATGGGAAATTAACAAATATAACCATTTTACTCGACACAATTCATTTTCTAGCCCTTTTTTATCGAAGTTTCCAAAATATCATCAATTCCACTGTTGGTAAAGCACTTGGCTTGCGGAATGTTCGTTTTCCTATTAGAAATAATTGAAAAAACAAAAAGAGGTCATTGGGCAATTGGCTTGTTTGGCTTCTCAAGTGGCTCATTTGGCTCCTCAAGTTTGACCCAAATTTTGAATTCTTGGGTAATGTGGCTGCCCACCGGAATCGATGATATTTTGGAAACTTTGATGGGAAATTGGCTAGAAAATGAATTTGGTCGAGTGAAATGGCTAGTTTGGTCAATTTCCTTATTCAAATTCAGGTTCT